TCACAACTAAATAGTTGCCATTGTGTTATTTTGTTTGTTATTTTTCAAATAAATTCTCAAGAACTCATATGGAGTGAGATTGTCGATCACATTATAGTGTGACAACAGTTAAAAGTAAGTGTTCAACAGTTTTTAATTTATTAATTCTAGTGCTGATATTTGATAGTGATGAATGTATGAAATGATGAAGTTGTTTTATTTTTTAACATATGCACAAGCTATACCTGACAAACAAAATAGCTTATTTGTAACACGGCGATAAGATTAGCTAGCTAACACCAGATAGTTACGAAATGGACAATTTTTATCAAATACCAAGAAATAAGACAGTCGATTTTTAATTGTTTTTGGACTACTGGTAGGCAGTCAGTCCTTAATTATTAAATAATATAGGGCATTAAGTTTTAAGTAACATTTACCTATATTTGAGTTTAAAGTAAACAAATCTATTTTATTTTGTTCACTTTGTCTTATTTTTTTTTATTTAATATTATTTCAGTTGCCATCGTCATCGCGTGAGTGTCATGATTGCGAAGGATTGATAAAGCAGCAACACGTTAAACTTTAGAACGGGAACCATCTGAATCATCTAGTCCATCCTTGTAGCAATCTAAAGTGAGTAATGTATTGAACCTAGAACAACAAAGCTTAGATCATACATCATACAATATACTGCTGCCTAATTTTGTAAGAGCACCACTCACACAAAATCAATGTTTTTTCCTGGTTGTAACAATTCCAATCAACTCACTGTTCCATCAGCATTGCGGGTATGTATTTTTGTGAATACAATTACTATGTACCTCCAGAATGTAGAATCAGTAACTACCATTTAAATAGTAACTCTTGGTATTTACTTTTAGAATTAATATATAACCATATTAAAACATTTAGTGTAGCACAAATTATAGATTTTTCTACATTATTGTAAGATAATATTTACCATCATATAGACTTTGAAAATATTTACAATATGCCCGAATATACTGTACATTATTATCTACGCTTATCAAAGGCACAATGCCAATAAATTCTGTCTGAAGTGCCCAAAATGTCAAGTAAACATAGTGGATGCTTTGCACTTGCTGTATATTTGATAAAAGTAAGAACAGGAGATAGTGATGAATGCATATAGGCATTATTGCAAGTACCAAGAAACAAATTAGAGCAGCTCATGAATATGGCCCAAGAAATATTAAATCAGGATGTTGTTCCTATGAATTTTATCCATCGTTACCACTCTCTGTGCCAAATTCTATTCAGTAATTATGATATTATATCTGAGGCAAATAATTTCTTAGCTTTCCTAGATGTTTTTGTTATCCAAAATCCTAACAACATCATAGGTCACACTGTGTATAGAAAAAAGACCCATACAAACTGATATTTAAGCGGTGAATCTCACCATAATCCTTCACAGTTAGTTACCATGAGCAAATCTTTGTTACAGAGAGCATATGGGATCTGTGAGAATAAGCACCTGGCCGCGGAGCTTCAGCACGTCAAGCAGGTTCTGCACAAAATCAAGCTTCGGGTCCCACGTCTTCGTCACAGCGACCGAGTGAAGCCGACCGCAGTTGAGCGTGTGCCTGCTGTACTACCGTATGTCAAGGGTGTCACCCCAACCAGATAGACATACATCAGATTTGATAGACCACAAATCCTCGTTAAAGAACATTAATTCCTACCAAGGATGATATGTGAGGCTACTGAAATTAAAAAACATCCTAATTTCAGTAGAGAAGGCGGTTGGGTACTGCCACCTGCTTGGGACACTATAATTAATAAAATTAAAACAAACCCCAAGCATACCACTGCAAGACTTAAAGATAGAGTAAGTTCAATCTGCGTAGATTGGACTATAAAAATAATAATAAAAAGCTGAAGGTACTCCATGTCCCAATACTGACATTGGGATGGCAGTCACTCAGTACCCCGTGACCATGGGTGCTATAAAGCACCTGAAACGTCAGGAATTAATAATAATAGTATAATAATAATATAGCCATTTATTTCCGAACTTTGGGGTTACATAATATTTGTGTTTGAGTTCCTATTGTAATACTAGTTAAAGTAAGTCCCTCTGTTCGGTGTGCCTTTTGGCATAGGTCTCCAAAAGAAAAATCACGCGTCGGGAATTAAAAGTTAAAGAAATTAAAAGCAATAAAATTGGTAAAAGTAGTCGCTAAAAAGCTGTATTTGTGAAAATAAAAAGCTTTATATCATAAAAATCCCGACTTTTTTTAAAACAAATCCTTAACCATTTCATTATTTTAATTGCATATTATCATTTCCATATGCTTTTATATGTGGGCACATGGCCGAAGTGTCTATGAACAGTGGGCATCCCCCTTTTAAAAGTTATGCAGTAATGATAGGCGAACTAAAATTTTTTCACAACAAAAACTTAAAGATTCAATACAATTACGTAAGGAATTTGATGATTGTTTAAAAAATTTAAATACAGAGATAGAAAGTTATATTTTTTTAAATTACGGTGTTTACGATATTTTATTTTTATTTTATATAATATAGTAGGTATACGAATTTTAATATTTTAAAATAATGTACAATTTTTTTGATTTTTACACCAAGTTGTAATTCATTGAAAAAAAAATTTTTGTAATTCAATTTTTTTTTCTTTTTGCCGATGGGCGTGTAGTGTGTGTCTAGTGTATGCTCAAGTAGCTATATATATATGATAGCCTAATGAACATTCGGGCAGTGATAAACCTACATTCAAGACCAGTAGACGTATTATTTATTCCCCGAACCTCCCGACATTACAATCTTCCTAAACTTTTTCTATCTTAGGGAAGAAAATTAAGTATTTGTACGTAACAAAATTAAGAATATTAAGAGAGGTAATTTTTTTACGTAATCGCGCCATCTCATTAATCTTATTTCTGCATATTTCATATAATTTTATTTATCTCGGTGTCATTTGGATTACTTTTGTGACACCTAGGTTAGCTAGAATTTCAGTTCGTTTGTTGGCCAAATTTGACTTGCTACAGGTTGAGGTGCTACATTGAGGTTTTCAGTTATTGGTGCATTGTAAAATTATAAATTTTCTTAAGTGTAAGAGTGACATAATTAAGAAACATTGACTAGTTATAATTCTTAAACTACTGGTTCAAATTGAATGAAATTTGAAATATACCATGTTTTTATAATGCCTACTCGGCTTAATTCAGGCTTCTAGTTTTATTGACTACGAAGTTTTAGGGGGTCGAAAATGTCCTGAATTGCTTCGAGAAAAGTATGGTACGGCCATGCCGCTTTTATTTTCGACTTGGCGGGGGCACTGCCGTGCCCTCAGATCTTGATAAATACTGAAGATCATACCATAGGCTTAGTTGGAAAAAAATCCTGGGGCGTGTTGCAACATACCCCAAGTAATGGTGTAGATACCTACTTTTTTCCTTTGATTTAGAATGAGGGAGTATAAAAGAAAGTCAGAGCCGGCAACACAAAGCCAAGAAGTGTACGATTTAGCGGCAGCCGATGTTTTAGAAAAAAAATGCACTATTAGGAAAGCTAGTCAGACTTTCGGATTATATCACGTCTCTCTTTATAAGTACATAAAGAAAAAGAAGAATAATGAAAGATTAAGAGTTGGTTATGTTAAGCCTAGACAAGTATTTACTGCAGAAGAAGAAGGTAAGATAGCTTCCTACCTAATCAAGTGCGCCGATATATATTTCGGATTATCTTCTATAGAAGTAAGGAAACTAGCTTACCAATGAGGTGTGCAGCTTAGTGCTAAAAACATTCCTCCTTTTTGGCATCAAAATAACATGGCTAGTACTGACTGGTTCCAAAATTTTATGCGCAGAAATTCACATTTATCTCTAAGGACACCAAAGTTATATTTTTTTAAATTACGGTGTTTACGATATTTTATTTTTATTTTATATAATATAGTAGGTATACGAATTTTAATATTTTAAAATAATGCACATTTTTTTTTGATTTTTACACCAAGTTGTAATTCACTGAAAAAAAAAACTTTTGTAATTCAATTTTTTTTCTTTTTGCCGATGGGCGTGTAGTGTGTGTGTAGTGTATGCTCAAGTAGCTATATATATATGATGCCTAATGAACATTCGGGCAGTAATAAACCTACATTCAAGACCAGTAGACGTATTATTTATTCCCCGAACCTCCCGACATTACAATCTTCCTAAACTTCTTAGGGAAGAAAATTAAGTATTTGTAGGTAACAAAATAACATGGCTAGTACTGACTGGTTCCAAAATTTTATGCGCAGAAATTCACATTTATCTCTAAGGACACCAGAAGCGACGTCTTTAAGTCGAGCGACGTCTTTCAATAAGACTAACGTTAATTCATTCTTTGAAATATATCAACGACTTCTCCAAAAATATCAGTTTAATGCTTCTCGAATATGGAACATTGATGAAACAGGGGTCATAACGGTTCAAAAATCTAAGAAAATAGTAGCTGCTCGTGCAACTGATTAAAAGCAAATTGATATCAAACCCTATTATAAATATTGTATATACTATGCTGACTGAATATTTGTCCATTATATGGGCCAGACGAAAAGAATGGTGCCTGTGTTACAGAAATGTGGTGCCTGTGTTACAGAAATGACTTGATGACTAGAGGTAACAAAACAAACAATTATGTGGAAGTCTCTATCCAAATATTCATGGATATAGTGTTGCAAAGATCGAAGGTTTTCAACAGTTGCGCTCTGATAAAGTGTATAACGGAAAGTTTTGAGAACTACCATAAGTTACGTCTTTTAGACGTAACTTATTGTAGTTATAGTAGACGTGACAAGAATATTATTTACATGAGATATTTCAAAAAAAATAGAAGGACTCAATGAATACTACCAGATAAATGAAAACGAATACAAAGTGCATTCGGAAAAGGACCCTGAACAATCTTACACGGTATCTGTAGACATAGCATGTTGTGAAAGCCCTCAAGGCTCCAGGGGATGATACTGTAAACATTTGTGTTTCATGGAAAACAAACTTAATATTATTTTCAAAACGTCACCACGTATTACATCGCAAGATAGTAAAAACTTTGCTGAGCTGGCGTTAGGAAATGAAACACCATCAAGGGACTTCTGTTCTAGCGTCGACTTAAATAGCGGTAACAATTCTTTCGAAGAGGTTGTAGCCAGCTCTTCAGTGCAACCCACACTAATGAATGTATCCGACATCGTTATTATACCAGTAGAGAATTTGCAACAAAATGAGAGAAACATAAAAAAGAAAATAAATACAATGAAACAACAATTTAATCGCTTGGCTGATATACCACAAGCTAACTCATCTCCCAACAACTTAATGATACTCAGAAAATTAAACAAAGTTTTAAGTGATAATGATACCACGGAACAAGCCAAAAACTTCGTTGCACAAAGAGTTAAACTTAAACTTTCAAGGTCGCAAACTTAGATTTGGCATGTCCACACGATACCGAACGATCCTATAAAAAAACATCTTTTGGAATAGATTATTGTAAGTTAACAAGTGCTTGCAGTTTCTCTATCTACTGGGCTATAAATACACTTTATTAAATACATTTTATTTGCTAATTACACGGAGAGAATGGGTCTTCATTTAATAAAGTGTAAAAATAGAGTTACTTTAAAAAAAACCGACTTCAAAAATGTTATTTATAGATCGATGTAATAATTGGAATAAGATTGTCACTTGGCTAGTTTGCGGTACGATTATGCTGGTAGAAAAACAGTTGACATATTTACTGATATTTGTAATATATAATTTTCATTTCGCACTTTTGCTTTATTAATTAATCAAACCAATTACTGTTTTGAAGTCGGTTTAAATTACTTACCTATTAAGTTCTTTTAATTCCTTTTTTATTTCTCCGTTTTTATATTTGTGCTAGGTATTTATTATTTTCGATTGGGAAATAAAGCACAAAACGCGTGGCGTGACGCCATCTCTAGCTATTTGAGATTTTGTTTTTGACATTTAATGCAAATCGCCATTTTCTGTTCTTCTTTTATTATTTTACGTTGTTATCAATCACATATCATATCAACTCAATTGGGTTATATTACCTTACCTAAATTAGAAACAGGTAAAATTTATTGTGACAGTACATCTTTCTTACGAAAAATTAATAAATATGGTAATTGGAAACACTTATAGTTTTTTTAACAACCTGTATAGTTGTTACAGTTCAAATTATTTTTAGTCATACTAACAAAGAGTATTTTTTATGTTAAAACTTAAATTAATTCACAAAAGGTATGTTTTTTATGGAAAGTTGTTCAGTTTCACGGATAGTTATAACAACCGCAACAGTATAACAAAAAATTGCGGGAAATTATGAAACACGTTGTATGTTACAGATATTCCCGAGTCACAGTTTGCTTTACATACAAGCGAGCAAAGTGCATACGAGCTCAGAATGCTCTGAGCTCGTATGCACTTTGCTCCAATTTGTTTGTGATTTCAATGAGCACGACGTAGTTCAGTACAGACTATGGGTGTCTCGGTCAGCATACAGTTTGGCAACGCGCCCCGGTAGACGTTACAACTTGCCCCAAGCACGAGGTAAGTTGTAACACCGCACTTCTTCTAAAAATAATTGTATAATGAACAATAGTTATGGTATTATTTTTACTTGTTTAGGTAGAGGAAGAGTTACAGTATCCATGCATCTTTATTTAGTAGAAATTTAATCAATATATCTCAAGATATATTAGTTTTGATGAAAACTGTTACAACAAGCCTCTCGCTCCTCTAATATGTAATATCATATCATATCATAATCATAAACACTCACGCCTGTCACCCAGAGGGGTAGGCAGAGACTACGGACTTCCATTTGACTCGATCCTGACATACCTCTTTCGTCTCCTTTACATCCATATATATACGTATACATGCTCGTCGGTTAAGGGTAGTTTTAACGTGGCCCATTTTCAAAATATCGCCAATTTGGTCGATAAACTTTTTTCTAAGGCGTCCCTTCCCGACTCTGCCGTTCACACCTGCCATATAAATTTGCTTTGTCACTCTTTCCTCATTCATTCTTTCTACGTGACCAAACCACCGAAGCATTCCTTTCTTAATCCTGGTCACAACATCATCTTGCATACCACATTTATCTCTTATCACGCAATTTCTCACCCTGTCATTCAGATTCAACCCTAACATACTACTTAAAGACCGCATTTCTACAGCATTTATTCTACTTTCGTGCTTCTTCTGCCAAACCCAGCTTTCACTACCATACATTAAAGTAGGGACTAACACAGCATTATGATGATTTCTTATATTTACGCGAACACTACACATTGAAATAATACTAGTTTTTACGGAATTTATCGCGTATATTTAACTTTTTAAATACCCGACGTTTCGAACGCTTTACAGCACTCATGGTCACTGGCGGGACTGAGATGTTCAACGTCCATATGTCATAGTTAACCGCGGTTACCATAGATTAAAATTTAACTTTTGTTCCGATCTATGCAGTATGAACTTATGGTATCTTGAAGTCTTGCAGTTGTATGCTTGGGTTGGGATCTAATTTTATTTATTATAGGATCCCAAGCAGATGGCAGCACTAAGCCATCTTCTCTATTGAAATTAGGATGTTTTTTGATTTCAATAGCCTCGCGAATCATCCTTGGAAGGAATCGGTGTTCTTTAGCGAGGATTTGCGGTCTTTCAAATCCGATGTAGTGACGGGGGCGATCCTGTACGTATTCACAGACTGCAGACTTCCCGGAGCGTCGATTCTTCACATCAGCTATATGTTCTTTAACGCGGGTTTTTATTGATCTTTTAGTTTGTCCTATGTAGGAGAGACCACATTCACAATCAAGCTTGTACACTCTTGCATCATGCAGAGGGACATTACACTTGACTGATGGTAAAAACTGACCAATCTTCTTCAGCGGCTTGAAGTATGTTTTGATGGAAGCGCGCTTCAAGATGTAGCCAATCTTGTCAGTGACTCCTCTAACATATGGCAGTACAGCAGGTACACGCTCGAATGTGGCCGGCTTCACTCGTTCACTGTGACGTAAGCGCGGGACTCGAAGCTTGTTGTCATGCAAAACTTGTTTGACATGGTGGAGCTCGGCAGCCAGGTGTTTACTGTCACAGATCCCTCGTGCTCTCTGAAACAAAGATTTACCCACGGTAGCTAACTGTGAAGGATGGTGGTGAGAATCACCGTTTAAATATCTATCTGTATGGGTCTTTTTTCTATACACACTATGGCTCAAGGTGTTATCAGGATTCCGAATTACTAACACATCTAGAAAAGCTAAAGAATTGTTTTCCTCTAACTCCATTGTGAACTGAATTTTAGAATTTATAGAGTTAAGATGGTCTAAAAATGCAGTTACTTTATCTAAAGGTAGAATTGTGAAAGTGTCGTCTACGTACCGCTTGTAGAATCTTGGATTTATGGGAGAACTAAGCAGGGCTTTCTCCTCAAAGTCTTCCATGAATATGTCGGCGACAATGGGAGATACAGGTGAGCCCATCGCTACACCATCTACTTGCTTGTAGAACTCCTCCTTCCACAATAGGTAGCCAGATGTAAGGCAGTGTCTGAGTAATACTGCATATTCTACGGGCATGTTGTTTTCTTCCAGCCTTCTAGTTACAATTGAGATGCAGTCTTCAACAGGTAAGCATGTAAACAATGACTGCACATCAAAACTGACCATAGTTTCATTGTCTGCCAGATGTAGGTCTTTAATCTCGCTGACAAAATGGTAGGAAACCTTTATGTGTGCTCTTGTATGTCCCCTGAGCGGTGAGAGTATTTTCGCTAAGTGTTGAGCCAATCTGTAAGTTGGTGAATCGATTTGGCTCACTATGGGACGTAATGGAGCATTGGGCTTGTGTATTTTTGGTAACCCATACAATTTTGGTGATTTGGCGCACGTAGGTATTATCCATTTTACGTACAGATTTAATTTTTCGGAGTGTTTCTTTATGAGGTCACTAGTTGTTTTTAGTGTGCTATTTGTTCGGTCGTTTTTAACGTTTGAACATCTCAGTCCCGCCCGTGACCATGAGTGCTGTAAAGCGTTCGAAACGTCGGGTATTTAAAAAGTTAAATATACGCGATAAATTCCGTAAAAACTAGTATTATTTCACAGCATTACGAATTACCATACGTGCCTTTTTTTTAATACATTCTGGTTCTTCACAATAGAGTGTAGTGCCCCATTCACTCTATTCCCTGCATTTACTCGTCGTTCTATATCCTTATCATATCTACCATCCCTGCTAAATACACATCCCAAATACACAAACTCATCCACTTGCTCAATTAACTCTCCCTCTATTCTTATTTCACATACCGTTTTGCTTTCCTCTCTTTCAAAAACCATCACTTTCGTCTTACTTGTGTTCACTTTCATTCCCCTTTCTTTTAATGCCCAGTTCATTAATGTAACCATCATTTGCAACTCAGCCGCCGACGACGCAAATATGACTTGATCATCGGCATATAAAAGGCATTTGACGGTTAACTCGCCCATTCTTAACCCACATTCTTCATCTTTCAAAGTTTGCAAACACCTGTCCATAAATAGGTTGAACAGCCAAGGGGAAAGCCACACAGCCCTGTCTGACACCTTTTCGGATGCCATACCAGTTCGAGTAGACCCCATTGATCCTGACACAAGCACTAGAATCCCTATAAAGAGACCTCAATGCCTGTATCAAACCAGCGCTCAACCCATATGAGTTCAGTGTTTGCCATAACACATTCCTGTCCACTCTGTCATAAGCCTTTTCCAAGTCCATGAACGCACAAAAAACTTTCTGGTTTTTAGCCAAAAACTTCTCCGCAATCATGCGCATGGAAAAGACTTGATCTGTACACCCCATACCCTTTCGAAAACCCGCTTGCACATCCCAAATTTTTCATCAGTTTCTTTCATAACTCTTTCAATTAACACCTTAGCATACAGTTTACCCACAATACTAAGCAAGCTGATACCACGGTAGTTTTTGCAGTCCTGCTTTTTCTTTCCTTTTCCTATGTAATATGTAATAAAATTAAAATTTTTAGTAAATAGCTCAATTTTTTTCATCATATTTTTTTCTTTTAAGTTTAAATTCATCATCAAGATTCGAATTTTTACATTCAGGGAAATTAAAAAGAAAGACAAAGAACTACAATTTTCCCTAGAGGAAAAAATTGTAGCATTATCGGTTTCAAAACAAAGTCCAGTGTTATAGATTTTGAAGAAATATATTCATCTTGTTAAATTCGCAGTCTCACAAAACTATTAAACCACACGAATATAAAGCCAGGAATAAATAAAAGAATATTTGCCCAGATCAAGAAAGCCACAGAAAAGTTAAAAGTTGAATAGTTTTATTTCTTAAAATGATATTTAAAGCCAATGTAACCTATAATGAGCGAAAAGATGAGGTAATTCGTTTCGCGAATGGTGGCTGGAAAACTAGACCTGAATAAGCTGATCATACATGGTACGGGGATTCACTTATTAACGGCGTACGATACAGTATGGCATCACTAAAATTGCGTTTGAATTTTCGCGGTGATTTTTTGTTAACGCGCAATTATTCGAACAACTAATCACAGAGACATAAGAAAAAAGTTTGGGCGGTCATTTGATATTGATCTTAGCCAATCACGATTAAGTATTTTGACAAACCAACGTATCAAACTTCAGTATTCAAAAATGACCGGCGAAATGGACATTTCTCTCAAGTAAGTCTTTAATATTTTAATTATTTATGAATGTGAATGTATGTTGAGTATTGTATCATATTTTTATATTAATCTTTCATCTAAATTAACGTAACTATTGTGTCAGTTTGTATGTGTTTACATTATATAGCATGACAAATGTGAGTGCTGCCAAATTGCATCAGTAGCCGAATATGTGATCAAATTTTAAGCATGAATACATTTAACTGGTGTATTATTCGAGGTCGTAATGATATATTTTAGAGTTTTGTTATTTTAGAGGCTGTACACTACATGACGCATTTGCAGCGCTTGAAGATGATGAAGATTTGGAGCCGTCGTATATTTTCGTTGAGCCTCCAGATCCAGCCATGCACATCGATGAAGAATCGGCAGATGAAGATCAATCAGGCTTGATTAAAAATCTCTCTGGTCGTCAACTTAGGCTCAGCGACAGAAAAGAAAAAAAATTCAGGTGCCACGCCCTGCAGTATTCACAAACTGTAACAAATTCATGGGAATTACATACCTTATGGATCAAAACATCAACAATTATCGTATTTGGCATAAGTGCATATTAATTACTATTCTAAATAACAGTCTGAAATGATGAACGAAAGATGTTTTAACCAAAGTTTTGGGGATCTTAAACACTCTTTTATTTTTTAAATTATCAAATGTCGGCAGTTTCGAGGCTTTCCTGTGCATAAATGTAAAAGCCCTCAGAAGATACAATTTAAGACTTGAGCTTCTCTTACGAGATCTGACGTGTGATAGCGCCTTGGTTTACCCATAGCTAGCTTCGAAACTGCTCTCTGGGCCCTTTCCAGCACTATCAACGTAGAGGAGGATATGCCACCCCACGCCAGTACGCAATAGCTAAGTATGGACTGACATAGTGCAAGGTAGACTGACTTTAAAATGCTGCCATCAGTAGAATCTCTCAAAAGTCTCATCGTGTGTATCAGCTTACAGATCCTGGCAGATGTCGCCGATATATGACTTTTGAAGTTAAGATTCTCACCTATAATGATGCCCAAATATTTAAGTTTTTACAGTTACAATTTGGAGAGCTCACGGAGCGATTGGTTATTGTGTACTTTAAGTTTATTGAAAAATGACGACGGCGGTTGGACGCTGCAGTTTTATAAAAATAAATTAACTGCTTTTTTGAGATGTTTAGTGTTAAGATGTTGTTATTTAACCATTTTTGTAATTTATGCAACCCGGAGACGGCTGAAAAGTAGACGTCGTGCCAAGATTTACCATAAAATATTATGGCTGTATTGTCAGCATAACATACAACCTCACTATTTTTAAGTTCAATTGACATTATGTCATTAATGTATGAAATAAAAGTATGTATGAGTAAAAGTTGGTCACAAGATGGTTTTTGTAATTATATGTGAAGGATCATTTTTTATGTTTATTATTTACGTATATCGAATTGTGATTTTAGAGTGCGGCCATTTTAAGTTTAAACACTTGACTTTATGGTTTGCGCGCTAGTACTTCAAACTGCGCTTCATACTAGTTTATGACTTTGCGCTTCGTGTTATCTTAGAGAAGTTTTGTGTTTTGAATTAGTTTTTTTTTTTGTTGAATTTCATAATAATGTCGTCAAGAACTAGCTTCACACAATTTACAATAATGGTATAGTTCATGAAAAAGTAAGTAACTGATTGATACACAACAACAATCATTGTATATAGATGCCTGTTAAGTAATGCATATAATGTTTATTTCTAAGGAATGGTGATTTATCGAAGCCACAAATTTACCGCAAGGGCGACTGAGGTATATTAGAAATTGAAAGGAGATGAGAAATTTGCTTAACAGATAAGGAATTGGAGAGTCTCAAAATGAAGAAAAGTGGCGGAAAGTAAGTTTTAGTTTTATTGTTCTTAAACCTTCATTACAAATCAAGAGCGCTTACATAGACTTTTAAAATCATGGCTGATTACATGTAGTCAAAATTTAAGTTAATTATCGTTTTATTTGGTTTGCTAAAGGTGTGGAGTAATTTAAAAAAAAAACAATACAAAACAGAAGTGGGCAAAAACTAAAAGAACTAGGTGTCGAAGTAGCAACTGGGATGTCCATAGCTGAAGTTGGTTTTAGCACGGTTTGTTGAATTTTTATTATAGAAATCAATATCAAGCTAAATAGTCGTTCATGAGAAAAGTTACGAACCCAAATTCCGAATAACCTTGCCGATTTTTTTTTGCATATACATTCATCATTCTAGTTTTGCAAATCTTTCATACTTACATAATTAGAACATTATAGGAAATTAAAAACTTTAATTTTACTAATTAATATCATAATAACATGATGAATACTTTCTCTACGAAAATATGTCATACAGAAGAAATTAATGCATATAAATGTAAATAACTAGAATAACTAAGATAAGTAAAAATAACTTAGATTACTTTACAGGTAGAAGAAACTGGAGAAGTTAATAAAACTGTCTATATAACTGCGGATCCAAATACAGAAGATTTAATAACCGTACCACCTGAAATTCCTGCTATCGGTTAGTCTTCAACTACTCATATATAATTTATTGACTATATTACTAATATTAAAAATATTATTACATTTATTTTTAGTAGTGTGCAGCATGAGTGATGGTTATTTGAAAATTTAAATAAATAATAATCAGTAATAATTATTACTCCTATTTTATTAATTTATACCATTATAATATACTATTAACTTATACATGGTAGAGCAACGCTGCAGCTATATTATGGTTGTAGCACGGATGGATTGGCTCGACTGGGAAAGTACCACACACTCACAGAATACCAGCGAAAAAAGCAGCTTAATACAGATGTATTTCGTATGGTGAGTGTTGAGATCCGGAGTCCTTTTTACTAGAAACGAAGTATTCCATCTTAGTCCTCAGGGGGATAACGCATCTGCGTTTTAATTCTTAATCGAGGATAAATGATGGATTGTACGAGTAAACCCGTACATTTTTATATGTTAGCGTAATTGGAGCGCGTGCTTGTGTTTGACGTCATTTTAATGCATTGTATACATATTGTTCTTATAATAAATTCGGTACCATTAGCAAGCCGTTACGATAAACAGTGTTTCATTTTGCATCCTAGAATCTCAGTATTTGAGTGGTACTCCCCAGCAGCATTTAATCTTGCATTGCATTGCATTAAATACTTGCATAGTTATACATACATATTTGGTCCTTCGACTACTACTATAGTGCTTAGTGTTTTGGCACAGTAGCGAATCGGTTCTTCTGGCCTCCCACAAGCGGGTCTCACCAGTCGAATTGAGAAGGTGCATAATATACTGTGCTGAGGACACGAACGCACTAAGTGGACCCAGCGATTGGAAGTTAGAGTTCCATCAGTGTTACTTGCAGCTTAATATTTAAACAATAACTTATCATCATACAAGTCTTATTGCAAAGATAATTTGAAATCTTAAACGAGATCAGAAGGCTTAATACCAATTTCAAAAAGGATCCGAAGATAAAAAAAAACTAAGGAATACATACAGAAGAGAATCAAAGATTTGGATGAACTTTGAGTCAAATTCAAAAGCAACAACGAACAATTATTGACATTAGAAGATAAGACTCACGAATATTTTACAAACGACATTTTTCTTGTGTATGAACATTTGTATAGCAAAACGCGGGAAATGATGGATGTGTATGAGTGTGAATCAAAGGATGAATCGACTAAGGATAATACCACCCAGGTTGACTGTGAGAAATGTAAAGAGTTGTTTAGCTTAAAGCGAACTAATTCTCGAGCATTTTCGAGAATAACTGAGAACATAGACATTGAAACATGGATGAAAAATGGGAGTTAGAGTATGAGTTGAGAAACCTTCAAAATCGTTGGAGCAACCAACTCATACTTAGGACAGTCAATAACACTACAAGCTATTTTTAACAGAAAAATAAACACAAATATAAAAGTAAATTTCACTTAGAGCTACCAAAAAATGCATTATTAAGTTTGCGCCTGGCTGACGCAGCACTAGTGTTAAACTTCGATTTGAAGTCAAACTCATTGAAATTATTGCTCACTCGCCATATAAATGTATTTTGCCTATAATTTGAAGATGCAAACGGGAGACTTAAAATTTTGTTGTGTCTAAGAGGTTTGGCAGGACAGCTAACATGTAGTTGAGATAAAGCTCAGGACAGTCAATAGCACTACAAGCTATTTTTAACAGAAAAGTGAGGTCAGCAATCTCACGACGCATAGCAAGAGGAAGAAGGTGATGTTTTTTACAATAACTAATATAATTATCAGAGGTATAGCGATAGTCATTGGTTCTATAAGATAGGTAACGCATAAACTTACTTTGGACATTTTCAAGTGAGTAATATATGTTCCATACCTGGGGTTCCAGATTTGAGATGCGTACTCCAAATTACTTTTTACAAGAGAACAATGTAGGATCTTTAGAGTTTTAGCTTTAGTGAAGTCCCTAGAGCTACGCATCAAAAATCCAAGAGCTTTCGTAGATTTGGTTATAATGCTTCCTAAGTGAACGTCAAATATCAATTTGGAATCATGAAGAACACCGAGATCTCTAACAATGGAATCCCTTTTAAGATTGTGCAGTGTTATGCTACTTACATATCATTTAACACTATTTTAAATTTATTTTTCCATTCTGTTTTTGATTATCTGTATTCACCTCAAAACAGGATATTTTGCATCACCTTTATTTCCATAGGATTCTGTAACTTTTTTAAACCATAAGAACACAATAACAAATCATTTTCACTTCGTATTTTCACGCTATCAGCACTTTTTAAATCGGTGTCGATGGAGTCTACCTTCTTCGATCTTTTATTTAGTTCTCCGTAACTGGAATTTCGGGCTTCGTGCGCACTACCTTTTTTCTATATCAATAATATCTCATTTTTCACTTAAATCTTGCCGTTTCTCTATTACGAGCCTGAAACCAAAATTTGACATGTTTTGACTTCGTTGTTTATCTGGTTGCCATGGCAATTTTTATTCAAATTCGTTACCGGTCTGATGTTTTTACTTCAATACTTCCACAAAAATACTCTTTTCTTCTTGGCCATTTACAAAAATTTGCTTTTAATTTAAATAATTTCCCGTTCTTATCTCAGATCCGTCGTCGAGCGCGGAGCTCTCTAAAAAAGTATAAAAGCCGAACAATCGGCCAATAAAGGAGTCTCGCTTCAGCTTTCAAACTAGAAGCATCTCCTAAAGGCCTTATCCCGGGGCCGCACTGCCCCGGGATCCTGCAAGCCTCTGCCTTCATCTGAAGTCGTCGCCTAGCCACGCCTACGCCTCCACCTACTAGTGCCCGCGCTATCTTTAGCCGCTGCGTGTGTCTACTCCGGGCGCTGCGTGTGCCTACTCCGGGCGCTGTGTGTGCCTACTCCGGGCGCTGTGTGTGCCTACTTCAAGCGCTGCGTGTACCTACTCCAGACGCTGCGTGTGCCTACTCCGGGTGCTGTGTATGCCTAGTCCGGGCGCTGTGGGTATCTACTTCAAGCGCTGCGTGTGCCTACTCTAGACGCTGCGTGTGCCTAGATCAGGCGCTGCGCACCTACCACAGGTATAGCCTGTGCATAATCCGTGAGCGGTGAGCACCACTGCCAAGCGCGGTGTGCCACCTTGGTTTTCGGGCTCCGTTTCAGTACTCATTTATCTTTGTTATTTTTTTTAAATAATTGTAATTCACATCACCCATCATCATCTTCATATTTTTTTATATGAAACTGTAAATATCTTTTAAAATTTTAAATAAATTATTCGTTTATATTCTATTTTTGTTGTTTCGTTGTTGTTAGGTTAGGTTCTTTAGTTTTTTAATTGTCGCTTTATGACAATTTTCACAAAAATGAATTATAAATATTTCGCCAAAATTACTTTAACAGGGTTTCTACACATTTGATGATAGAGTGGCTGCTGCTCTAATTAATTCCACACAAAAATAAGGGACAGGGATGATGCGTCTTAAATACTTGAAATAGTTCACAAAAATATGGAGACAAGTAATGATTTGTCTGAGTATGCTAGGGAAAGCAATCTAAATAGAGCTAGGGCAGACTTTAGAAATATAAATGTATACAAAAAATGTTAGGGAATTTCCTGTTTTAACGACTTAATATTAATTGTTTGTGGCACATGCCAATTAAAGCAAGCTCACTCCTATTATGGTGAGCATATAAGATTTAATGGTTGCTACCGGATACTCTATAATGGGTAGAGGTCAAAATAATCGTACATGACTTTAAAAAATATGTGTCCTCGACCGTTTTCAGCTTATATAAAGATTAGTTCGGGTCATATCAAGTTATAACCAATTTTGTTTTAAAGGACAATTAATTTACAGGAAAACAAGCCATTTTAGTTATGTTTAGAATATAACTATACCGAAAAAAATATTAGCAAACTAAAGTCACTAATTTCACGTCCATACAAAATGAAAGTGTCCTATTGCGTAATGAAAATTTACATATTATAAAATAATCAATACTAGGCAATTTTTAGCAATATTATATACTGTTAAGTAAAAACTGGTGACTTAATTATTGTTTTCATTCATGTAATCGTTAATTTATTATGTCTATAATTATTTAATTACTGTTTATAATAAAATCCCAAATATCATTCCTGTGAATAACTCCAGGTAGATAACGGTGTTTTAAACGCTCCCGAAAAGAAATTCTACCATATCGCAATTATATATTATGCTAGCAACACTGTTACTCACATCTCGTGACTTTTGAGAACGCCATGTTGTCACTTCATTAAGTTTTGGTTGAAAGAGTGCGCGCACAGAAAAATTTGTCCAAAATATTCCTGTGAAAAACTAGTGAGTGAGATAAATTCTAAAGTGAATTACGCGGGTCTGGATACACAGTCTGAAATAGTGTGTTTTGGTGCTCATACAACACAGAGACATTGTTTTCAAGGTAAGATATTTGTTGTTATGACGATGCATTTTAGAGGTTATAATCCATATTTTTCCTTCCTGTGGATAACGTAACACGACTTAGGGCTAGTTCATACTGCTAATTGTTACTCACAGGATTTTATAGATTTGTGAGTAACACTTGGTAAAACGAATCAGTTTGTATAGTAAGTGCACCTGCAATCAATAACGAGTTGTTCACTTCAAACGAAAATCTCATTCATCTTCCGAACCGCTTGGTTTTGTTCGTATTTTTAACCGACTTCAAAAAAAGGAGGAATTTTAGAATTCATATTTTTTTATATATTTATATATGTATATGCATGAAATATACTGGCATCCACTTCTGGAATAATCTATTATTATTATTTTAATATTTCATGGATTGGACTTTTTGGACGTATTTGTGCATAAATTAAAACTAATTGACTTTACATGCTTACTTTTAGATGGCGCCAATGTCAAATGCTGAGAGACAAAGAAAATACCGTGAAAAAATAAAACCAAATGCAGAAAAATACGAGGAGAAAAAGAAGAAGCATAGAGAATACATGAAAGCTGCTAGAAGACCAATTGCAGAACTGACTGAAAAAGAAAAGGAAAAAAAGCGACGAGAATGGAGACTTGCCAAAAAAAAACAAAAAGAAGGTGGTGTAACAAAACCAAAGAACAACAAGTGTTGTGCGTTAAATGCACGATTATGTGAAAAATTGAAGAAGCGAATAACAGATCAAAAGAAAGTTATAGATAATATATTGCTGAAGAAACATGCTTTACAAAAAAACCTATATAGACATAAAATTAAAATTGAAGAGCTGCGCAAATTGATCTCAAATTCAGAACGAACGGAAAACAAATATTTAATAAACTCATCAGAAAGTAAAACCAACAGTGAATTTGTACCTACAGACATTAATGCACCAACTACCTCATCCGGACTGACCACAACTGACAAATCTGAAAATGAAGATTTACGTGAAAAAACTCCCATGTCTAAAACATTATCCTTTATAAATGAAAATATTCCATCCATATCCACTCCTGAAAAAAATAAAGTTAAAAAACAGATCCTGCAGCTGAATGTGATCAGTGCTTCGTTACAGACAGCATATGAAAAACATGACAATAAATCAAAACAGATCCTAAAAGACATTGTTTCATCCGAAGCAATAGAAAAATATAATCTGAAAACTGATATTTCGAAATCATTGGGACTGAAAGGGAGAGTAAGAAAATTTCAGAAAAAGGAAAGGACATACAAAGAAGCTAAAGAAATACGTATTTTTTTCAACAGGGATGATAACACTAGAATGACAGCTGGCAAGAAAGAATGTGTTGGTAGAGGTAATGATAAATTACAGAAGCGATTCTTGCTTACTTCATTGAAGAAACTTTACACAAAATATGTAAGCGAGGGAGGAAAAGCTTCATTTTCAACTTTTAGACGAAATAGGCCAAGAAATGTGTTACGGCCAAAGTTGAGTGATAGAAACACCGTTGCATGTATAAAACACAGTAATTTAGCCTTCAAAGTTGCTCATTTAAAGAAAATTGGCGTTATAGGTACTTCCGATTTGCAAGAATTACTTGCATCGAGTGTGTGCAGCGTTGAATCGTACGACTGTATGTATTTAAATTGTGAAAAGTGTAAAGACACCAATCCTGAAATGAATTTGACAGATATTACAAACAATACAGAATGCACATGGATACAGTGGATTAGAAAGGAATTTACGTTTGAGAAGGGAATAGAAAGAAAAATTACTACTACAAAGAAATATGCTAAAGAAAGTATTAAGGGTACATTTTCAGAACTCAAAGAAATGTTTTTAGCTGATCTACGTGCATTCCGGCAGCATTTCTTTAATATAAATCATCAGCACAAAAAATATCGAGAAGTTATTGATAACCTACTACCCAATGAAGCAGCTCTAATAATAGATTTCTCAGAAAATTATTCCTGTAAATTAGGAGAAGAGATACAGGCTCTTCATTTCGGAGCATCAAAGGGCCAAATTACGATCCACACTGGCATAGCATATCTACAACAAAAAAAGGTTCCTTTTGCTTCGCTGTCCGACTGTAACTTACATGACCCTGGAGCCATCAGAGCCCACATAGAACCTATAATTGAATTATTATTAACAAGCAATCCCGACATAGATACCATACATTTTTTCTCAGACGGTCCAAGTACGCAATATAAACAAAAAAAAAATTTTTACCAGTTTACAGAGTTATGCAAAAAGTATAAATTTACTTTTGGAACCTGGACGTTTTTCGAAGCTGCGCACGGCAAGGGTGCTGCCGATGGAGTAGGGGGTGCTGTAAAAAGACTGCTGGATCAAAAAGTGGCATGTGGAAATGATGTTAGCTGTGCCGACGATGCTGTGTCTATTTTAACTGAAGAATCATCTGTTACAATATTTTCAGTCTCTGAAATTAATATTCGGGATGCACAGAACCAGATACCGAATGAATTGGATCCAGTACCACTTACTACACGATTACATCAAATTACTTACCATGTTCCATCAACAACACTAAGGTACCGCAATGTCAGTTGTTTCTGTAAGTCATCTTTGCCAAGAGGGATTTGCGAATGCTACAACGCGAAAACTCACGTCCTGAAAAAAACTATAGTCCACAAGATAAATTGTTCAACCAATGTTAGTAAAAGGATGCGCAACAATGAGGAAGCGGGGCAATTGAATGAATGCGGAGCAGTGCTGCCAGAAATTCCCGTGGTTTCACATCGAATATCAACCAATGACATTGACGTTATACATGACGAAGGTGGAATTTTTCAATCGAAAACAAAAGCAAGTAGTTGCATCATTCGGGAAACTGCTGGAACAAAAATTGTATTGATGGCAAAAAATCAGAATTCACTTAATATTAACACTAACGTCTTGACGACTGTAAAACAAAAACCCAAGATTATATCGCAAGTTATAATTCCGCCCTCAAAATGTACCCCAAAAATTGTTACCAATAATGAAAATAAAGAAAACTTATCATCACTTAACACTAAAAACTATGACCGGCTTAAACGAAAAACGAGAAAAGAGATTAAGAGAAAAGATAAGAAGTTAAAAAGAAAAAAAGAAGAAGATGAATCAAGCAATAGTGACATCGCTATGAGTGTCCACAGTGATTCAGACATTTGCGACGTTGCTTCTGAATCAGATAGCCTGGATATGCAAGATACAGATTTTAATATTAATAAATCAAAATCTAAAGGCTGCAAAAAAAATGTAAAAGTTAAAATTGAAAAGACTAAAACTTGCCTTATCCCAGATACTATGTTGCATCAGCCCTCTTCAAGTTCCAACTTAGAAATTGTTCCCATTGATATAAAAAAATACGATTATGTATTGGTAAGACACTTTTTAAAAAAAAGAGTGGAATATTTTGTAGGCACAGTTTTGGAAAAACCTTTCAATGACAAGGTAAAAATATCTTTTTTTAAGAAAAGTTGGCAAACATGACAATACAAAATTTATTAAGACAAAGTCAATGGAAGTGGAGCTAATAGATTGTAAGAATATTGTAAAGACTGTAGAATTAATGTCGATCAATGAAAATGAGACTGATTTTGTATTTCTTGACGACGATGATTATATATATTTTGATTAAAGAATTACATAATTATCACTCAAGTTACCAGTTGTAATAAATATATTAAAGTTCCTTTTTAAGTAATAAAGTTCCTTTTTTTTGTTTTGTTATTTTCACCGCCAAAGTAATTGTTTTGTGTAGGTTGTAGTTTTTAAAGCATGTTTTCGGTGGTGAACTTGTTAAAAATACATTTATTGATGTTAGCAGTTGTGTCAGTCTAACAATAAATAAAAATATGTACCTATTTGTTGTTTCAATGTGAAAGCATCCTATTATTCCTGTGAGTAACATTTTCTTATCAGGTGAGTAACGTTACTACCCGGACTTCATGTGAGTTGCGGTCGATTATTTTGACTTCTACCCTAATAACCACAGGAGCAGCATTATGGAAGGAATAAACTTTAACCCTAGCTGATCTTTACTTAGTGTCGTAAAGTGTATTTTATATATATTTTAATTAGTGGCAATGGTTCTAGTAGAAGTGCAATCAAAAAGTATTGTTGCATTTGTATTGTCGGCAGTCGAACAGTATGATGCTGTGCCCATGTTATGTCATTAATATGGTATTTGGCTTGGGCACGGCATCAAACTAATATTTTGCCTCCTGCTCAGTTCCTGGATGATGTATTGGTGTATAAATTAAAGGCAAATAATTCCTTAGCTTTCAGTTAGTCATCCAAAATCCTAACAACACCATAGGTCACACTGTGTATAGAAAACAATGAATCTCACCATCATCCTTCACAAGTTAGCTACCGTTAGCAAATCTTTGTTACAGAGAGCGCAAGGGATCTGTGACAGCAAACATCTGGTTGTCGAGCTTCAGCATGTCAAGCAGGTTCTGCACGTCAACAAGCTTCGAGTCCCGCGCCTACGTCACAGTGACCGAGTGAAGCCGGCCACAGTCAAGCGTGTGCAGTACTACCATATGTCAGGAATGTCACAGACTAGATTGGCTACATCTTGAAGCGAGCTTCTATTAGAACATTCTACAAGCCTCTGAAGAAGATTAGTGAGTTCTTACCATCAATCAAGTGTCATATTCTTCTAAAAGGTGCAAGAGTGTACACCCTTGATTGTGAATGTGGTCTCTCATATATAGGGCAAACGAAAAGAACAATTAAAACCCGCTTAAGAGAACATATGGCTGACGTGAAGCATTAAAGTTCAGGGAAGTTTGCAGTTTGTGATCATATCCTAGACGGCCCCTATAAACAAGTAGACATAAATCAGATTTAATAGACCACAAATCCTCTCGAAGGAACGTCAATTCCTATCAAGGATGATACGTGAGACTATTGAAATAAAAAAATCCTTATTTAAATAGAGAAGGAGGCTTGGTACTACCACCTGCTTGGGACCCTTTAATTAATGAAATTAAAACTAAACCCAAGCATACCACTGCAAGACTTCAGGACACAGTAAGTTCATTCTGTAGATCGGACCATATATAAAATTTAAAAATCTGAAGGTATTCCAGGTTAACACTGATATTGGAACGTCAGTCACCTCAGTCCGCCGTGATCATGGTTGCTGGAAAGCACCCGAAACGTCTGGAATTAAAAATCAAGGAAATAAAACGCGATGAAATTGATAAAAGTAATTGTTAACACGCTAAGCGCCATGTGTATCATTTTCGATACACACTGTACAAACACTTATGTATCTTTTTCGATACACGAACACCATTCCAGTCTTAAGCCTCGTGTATCACTATCGTGCACGTTTTCATACATTTTATAGTACGAAAATATTGCTCTGGCCTAGGGGATTTTTCTGGTGTATTGGGGTTGGGATTGGTAATATTTTTTGGAAATTATGAAGAAAAATGTATGAAGAAGAAATAAAACACTAAAATTATTTTGAATGTAGAACTTTTATTATAAAAAATCAAAATGTAACAAAGGTGTTATGAAGAGAAAGTAATCTTATAGTTAGTGGGTATTATTGAAACAAGTTTTGCAAATAATTACATCACAAATAGAACATTTTGTGTTAACTTGTGACGCTCGTAGTATTTTGCCATTTACTTCAATTCCTTTCCTTCCGTACTTTTTGTAACAGTCTGAACAACGCCCGCGAAGTGTCTTTTCTCCAACTGTATTCTTCACAAGATAGTGCTTCATATTTTCTGAGGCTCTTCTTGGTGTCGAAGTTGATAGTCCGGATTCTGTAACATGGGGTTGAGAATGTCTGTCAAGTAATCCTGTAATAACTTGCTCTCGAAATTCCGTGATTGTCAGTTTCTTGTTGTTGGAATATTTGTTATAGAGAAAATGGGCATTGACTAGGCTTATTCCCCATAGTACCTCAATGAACAGCTTACGATCCCATTTAGTACAACGTCTCAAAGCACTGACATATGTAGCCATTTGGTCACTAATATCAATCGATGTTTTGCCGCTGTTTTAGTTGTTGATAATTACTGGCTTGATTATAGGTATCCTTTTTCTAGTTTGGGTGATCACTGTCTTGAGGCCAGATGTTTTCGTTGAGAGCATTCTTACATCCCGTTTATCGCGCCATTTCAGGACTACAATTCCATCTTTGGTTTGCTTACAGCTAATTTCCCCTCTTTTCAGTTTTGTTGCAATGACATCTTTTGGTAGATGTTTTCGGTTGGATCTGAGGGTACCAACAAGATGGGTTTTTCGGCGTCGTAGTCTGTATGCTAGCGGGACGCTTGTATAATAATTATCAGTAAAAATAGTTCTTCCTTCGTCAAGAAGACCTTGAGCAAGAGTCATAACCGTTTTTTCAGAAACATCGACTTCTTTTTCTTTCGATTTTCCACAATATACATACAGGTTCCAGGTATAACCCTGTATCTGCTTCAGTGTTATCCGAAAAATGCAAGTATTTCAATATTAGCTCGAAGCGATTTCTTGGCATGACTGTCCTTGCCAATGGAATTCCATAAAGCTTATGAACTCTCCAGTAGTCTTTTATAGCAGGCAGTTTGACCAACCCCACCCAACCAATCAGTGCCAAAAATTTGATCATCTCGTCGACAGTGACTGGATACCAAGAATGAGCTCGAGCTTGGGAAAAAGATTTGTTTGTTCAACAATGACCTCCACAATATCTCTTGTCAGAAAAAGTTCAAAGTATTCAATAGGATTTGCAGTTGCTAAGATGCCCGTGTAAATATCTTTCATTCCTGAAAAAGGCACAGTGTACGGTATCGGTTCTGGATCATCTGCAGTTGGCATATCCCATTCTATATTTTCTATTTTTTGTTTGACCCACTCAGACTCTGGTATTTCTTATGAGGTAGTTCCATAAGTACTTGGAAGGTTGGCTATATCATCTGGTGGCATTGTTCTTGATCGTGGAGTTCTTCGTCTCTGTATATTTGGCAGTGCAGGTAACTGATCCTCTGAAAATGTTGACATTCTTCTTGATGTAGCTGGTGGATTCCAAGCTTCATTTCCACTATCTGATTCACTTGAACGTCGTCATCTTCTGTACTGGGACAGAAATCGGGATCGTCCATTGAATCATCACTACTATAATCCATTTTTACAATATTCTAACGCGTCTCTCGGTTGTTATTCACTTTACTAACTCTCTATTACTTATTCCTGAAACAAAAGAAAAGAAAATTTAAGAAAAGGCTTCTTTCTTCTTATTTCTTCTTTCTTCTCAGCTCCAATTGCTAATCTAAAACAATATGAGATTTAATTATTAATGTGTATCTTTTTTGCACACATGGCCCATGAGGTAGTTTTGGGTGTTAACTATTGTCACAGGCCCGTGTATCGAAAAAGATACACACTAGTGGGAGGGGGTGGAGAAGGGTGGGTGTAGAAAAAAATGTATCCGCTATATCAAGATGGTTTTAGGTCAAAAAAATTTTTTTCAGAAAGGTCAAATATGGGTGGTATTGGAATATAGGGCTTGGCGCTGAGCGTGTTAAAAAACTATATTTGTGAAAATAAAGACTTATATCTTTAAAATCCCGACTTTTTTTAAAGCAATTCCTTTACCATTTCACTATTTTAATTGCATATTATCATATCTATATATTTTATATGTACCATTATAGGCACCCATGGCCGAAGTGTCTATGAAGAGTGGACATTCCCCTTTATCTCTTTATACTCATCGTTCAATAACTTAATATTGATAGTACTTATGGAACTTTGGTGAACAGGAAAATAAATCAAATTTCTAGGTATTTTAATTATTCGATAACCAGGTGGTACATTAGGTGCAAATTCATAAATTATATTGCTTTTATTGTTTCCATACATTAATTTTCAATGTAGTTATATCGCCTCAATCCGCCCCTGGCTCAATATTCCAAACAACCACATCGGCATTTTCATAAGAAGCCAAGTTAGACTTCAGTGTATTGTAAGACAAACAACTCCCACACATATCCCGCGACGATATGATAATAGTTTAGACTTATTTTACTAACATAAAATTTAATTCATTCTGTAACTAACCACCTTCGGAAGAACATTATATCATTTTATATTTTGAATTGTGTTTTTAAAAAGACTGTCGAGGTCCGTCGCAATTTAAGTGGCGCAGCCGGTAGGATATCCGTATATATTCCGCTGTCGTATTAACGCCCTTTCGGACCCCAAAATCGGTTTAAGCGTCGGTATAGCAGTCAGGATCGGATATCCTTGAACCAAACAAATAACTCCAGCGACGCGCGCTCAATCGTTTCAAAATCAATCGATTACGCGCAAAGGAAACATCGGCAGTATTGAAGTGGGCAGAATCACCTGGAGGACATGGGATTGAACATACTGTGAGTCAACTTTTTCACTTCCTGTTTACATTTATCCCATTCTTTTCCGCAATTTTCCAAACTAAAATCGTCGGGCCAAATTATTTGCATTTGTCTGATTTTGTTGGCGCAAAAATAGGCTAATAAATATCCTTGTTAATAATTTGTGTTAGATTAAGTAAAATAGTTTAAATAAAATGTCAGTAACTGTTATTCCAGCACACATTTTAGATTTAATTCCTAGATACGACGGAGATGAAAAATTACTCAATTTATTTATTTCAAAATGTGAATATGTTTTATTAAATTCAGGAGGCGATAATACTCCGATTCAGAATTTATACAGATTTCATGCTATAAGTAGTAAGCTCACTGGTAGGGCTGCGACTCTACTTAATGATAATCCTAGTTTAAGTACATGGGAAGATTTGAAAGAAATTTTAACCCAACATTTCGGCGACCCTCGTTCAGAAGAATGTATTGCTATCGAGCTAGAGTCTCTAAAAATTAAACAAGGTGAGTCTTATATTCAGTTTTGTAGTAGAATACAGAATGTAAATAGTTCCCTGCTTGCCAAAGTACAAAGACTTTCCGATGAAGGAAATAAAGCCGCTAAAATGATTATATATAATAATACCGCCTTTAACGTATTCTTGTACAACTTACACGAAGACCTCATTAGAATTGTTAGACTCAAAGGCTGTTCTACTTTGGAGATTGCTTTAAGTATAGTACGGAGGAAATTAACTTCTTAGCACAGTATAACGCCAAAAACCATAAAGCCAAACTAGTTCAGCATTTAGCCATTCAAAGTTTCGTGAGACCATCTACATTTATAAATTCTAAATCTGCCACCAAACAATAATAATAATAGTAATTTCAGGTTTGTGTATCCAATAATCAGATAAGATATAGGCCTAATTTCATACACCCTAATAAATTCACCTCCCCTCAACAAGGTTACCGTTTACCGTACACCACCTGCATCACCGCAAAATTCAATGCCACGTAATTTCAATCATCCATTTACCTAACAACCACGAGCACCATTCCAAAGTGGTGGATTCAAATTTGGCATTCCTCAACACCAAGTTCAAAGACACAGTATGCAGAATCAATCACAACGAAATCAGTTTAAATACGGTCTTCAACAATATCCTAATCAATTTAAATACGGCATATAACAGCAACCCAATCAGTTCAAATTCGGCATACAAAATCAACCGTCTAAAAATGCTTACGATACTGACGTATCTATGCGCACCGCACCAATTAGGCAAAACATGAGAACCAATGACTTGTTCTTTGGTGAGGAACCTTCAACGTCATATCAAAATTCCTCCCAAGATAATAATGACGGTGACTACTACGAACACTATGATGGTTTTGTAGAAGACCCTTCGTTTGATGGTCAGTATCTCGAAAATTCAAATGAAATTAATAATGAGGATAATGCGGTGCCTGAAAATTTTCCGATAGTAGCCTTCGAAAACCCCCCGAAATGATCCATCTTAATTATTGCGATAGCATTTTAAAATTGACTCACATAGTCATTCCTGAAATAAATTCCAAGTTTTTAATAGACACCGGTAGTAGTAGATCTTTTATCAGTCCCGCAAAGGCTAACCAATATTTTAGCGAATTTAAATACAATGAACCTTTTACCGTAGTAAGCACGCATGCGCAAAGTATGAATGACGAAATTGTTTTTATACCACTTTTGAAAACGTTCAAAAGCACCCTTCCACATAAATTTTACATATATGATGTGGACGGTAGATACGACGGTCTTATTGGGTCAGGCTTATTTAAAAAAATTGGCAGCTAATATCGACATCTACCACCATGTCTTGCGGACCCCTAATACTGAAATACCAATAATCTATAACCCACCTTACGAAATTAACTTAGATCCAAGGTCGGAAACACGGGTTAAAATTCCTACCAACTTACAAAACGGAGACGCAATCATTAATTTTATACAATTTACCGAAGGAGTTCGTATGCCATGTGCCCTTATAAAATGTGAAAATTTCTTTGCCGACACCATTATTCAAAATGTTTCCAACGAGAAAGCTAATATTAAAATTTTAGAACCGTTTAATGTAACTGTATTTGAAAATAATGAGTGTGACATTAATGTGATAAATTCCGATTGCGAGATAGATGAAAATTTAAATAAGCTACGACTAGATCATACAAACGAAGAAGAACGGAAAGCTATTACTAAACTATGCTATTGTTACGAGCTTGAGGTTCGTGACAATAAAAATTGCCGATAAAATTACCTAAATTAACACTTTAATTTACTTTACACAAATTAAAGTTAAAAACACTAATAATTAAACACACTAATTCACTTTATTCCGCTCCGAAGCTTCGCTTGTCTCGCCAAATCAACACTACCTCGATCGCATCTTGCAGCGCCTATTTATTTAAATTAGCAAAGAAATATCCAGAATGTTCAAGTAAACACGCGCAAGGTACCGAGCGTTCGAGTTTCGACTAGGCGCTGTCGGTTGAGTGATTTGTGATGTCATTTTCTCAATGCTCCCCTCGCTCTCGTTCCTGACACTAGATGGCGCTAGTGTATCGTCGACTTGAGCGCGTAACACTGCCCCCTCCTAAGACATGCTTGTCCCGAGCATTATCGGCCCCATAATAACGCGCCAAGCGATTCACATTGACGATCTTAGGAGTCCCTCTTGCGCCTTTTTGTAACGGCTCCGCAATGTCAAGGGCTGTCCTATCCCGTGGTGCACCAACATTGTACAATTTCGGTGCTCCTCTACTACGTGTCTGAGGTCCCCGCACGGCCGCACAACTTGTACATGTACGACACCAATCCTTGACATCGTCACGATAATGGACCCAGTAAAACTGTTCTCGGACCTTCAGTAGAGTTCGTTTAACTCCCAGATGGACTCTTGAACGACCATTATGGCACAGCTGTAGAACATTCAGCACTTTTGCTTTAGGGACAACCATTTGCAAACGACAGCTGTCTCTTCGACCATTGTCCCATTTACGGCACAGGACTTCATCCTGAATCAGCAAGCTGTCCCATTGGGTCCAATAGCTTTTCGTGGTTGAACTCATCGCTGAGACGTCCCTCCACTCAGGCTTGGTAGCACGGGCCTTCATCCATCCCAGAATCGGCTTGATGTCCAGATCTTCCCGCTGTGCATGTCGTAGGCTGTCCTTCCACCCGTTGCTGAGGTGGTCTGTCCTGAGCATCCTCACGGATGCCACCTCCTTACTCTCTTGTCCACCACAATGGTTGCAATCTTCAGGACAAGGTCTTCTTGACAATGCATCTGCGTTGCCGTGAGATTTCCCGCTGCAGTGTCTGATAGTCGTATTCCCGCTTCTGCTGGGCGGTGCTGTTAGCCGCACTTCCTTTCTGAGACCGTTCACCTTCCCTTCCTAGGGTGTGCTCAGGGCAGCTGGACCGAAGATGGCCCC